GGGGTCTCCTGGTTGGCTGCAGGGGTCTCCTGGTTGGCTGTAGGGGTCTCCTGGTTGGCTGCAGGGGTCTCCTGGTTGGCTGTAGGGGTCTCCTGATTGGTCCCGGGGGTCTCCTGGTCCATTGTAGGGGTTTCCTGGTTGGTCCCAGGGGTTTCCTGGTAGGTCTCCTTATCTGCAGAGCTGTCCTTGGGGAATGGGGGCATGATCTCAGCTGGAAAGCCACTCGCATTCCTCAGCTCTCCCCACGAGGTCTCTGAGTGTCTGCGGCCTTCCACCTCCTCATAGGATGGGCTCTCTGGGGCTTCGGGCCCTGGGGCAGGGGCCTGGCTTCCCCTCATGAACCCCAGGATGGCAGCAGTGGGGGCCAAGGCTTCCTGCGGGGGCTCCGCCGTCTCCATCAGGGCTGGATCCTGAGCTGGAAGAGGAGACAGAGGCCTCTATTCCTGGCCTCGATCCCCTTCTGCTTCTACCTATCAGAGGAGAGGCCATCGAGAAAAGGGGTGGGGACACATCCTTGGTTCCATCAAGGGCCATTCTTTGAGACAAAAGGCCCTCCACATCATTAGCAGTGGCCTCTGTAAAGCTCATTGACCCAGTGCTGGACAACATGGCCAAGGCCTGGCACTCAAGGGGCTTCTAGTCTTACGGAGAGACAGACATCAAATAAGGAAATCAGAGGATAAATCTGTTGTTGAGCGGGCCACAGGCTCCCCGTGGTTATTTCCCTCTAATTGTAGGCTGTCTTCCTCTGTCTCTCCCAGCCAGTCTCCAACACCAAGGGTGACCCAGCCCCTATCACTCCCAGACACCACGGGGGGCCCGCCCTGGACCTAACAACCAGAGATGCAGCATCAGGAGGGGCCTCCCTCGGGAGCTGCAGCATGGGATTAAAATCATCTGGGTTGGGATCATCACTATCCCACAATCTCCTGTTTACACAGTCTGGATTTTACTCAACTACCTCCCATAGCGTCTAGCAGAGTCTAGCAACTCATTAACAGTTTTGTTTCCGTTTTAGAGGCAGCTGCTGTAGGGTGAAGTCATAACTTGACTTACTGAATTAGCACCACAGTAGAAATGATCAGAAGGAACCCTGGTGGCACAATGGCTAAGCACTTGGCTGCTAACCGAAAGGTCAGTTGGAACCCACCCAGCAGCTCCTTGGGAGAAAACATCTGGTATTCTGCTCCCATAAAGATTACAGTATAGATCAAATTGACAACAACTCAAAAGATTAGAAAGGAGCCTTGGGGGCAGTGAGTCTATGTTAATGGGCAAGGAACAACTCAGAAAAGGAGGGTGAGCATGGTTGCACAACTCGAAGAATGTAATCAATGTCACTAAATTAACATGTAGAAACTGTTGAATTGGTGTATGTTTTGCTGTGTATATTCTCAATAACAACAACAAAATAAATAAATTTAGGGAAAAAAAAGATCACAGCCTAGGAAACCCTATGGGGCCGTTCTACTCTGTCACTTGGGGTTGCTATGAATCAGAATCGACTCAATGGTACCCAACAACACTCTCAATCCTTATCCCCTTTAAGGAGCCCCGGTGGTGCAACGGTTAAGCACTTGGCTGCTAACTGAAAGGTTGGTGGTGGCTCGAATCCACCCAGCGGCTCTGTGAGAGAAAGACCTGGTGATCTACTCCCATAAAGACTGTAGCCTAGAAAACCCTATGGGGCAGCTCCACTCTGTCATGTGCGGTCGCTGTGAGTTGAAACTGACTCAGTGGCACCCAACAACACCACCACCACCAGATGCGATCTTTACCAGCTCCAACTAGCCTACGCGGCTGCCTTACCCCCATGATTTACACTCCCTTCTCCCAGCAACCTTGCGGACTCTTCTCAGTACTTCTCAGACTTCTGACCTTCCCACCTCTCTTCTCACTTCCAGTGGATCGCCTCATCTCCCACTTCACAAAGGTTTGGAAGCTAACAGAGAGGACTGTCTCCATGTCTTGTAACCAAATCTGCAGGGCTGCCTGCATCGATTTCCACTGTTTCCATCTCCCTTCCTCTGACAGTGCAAAGTGTCCCTCCTCTCCAAGGACCATCTTGTATCACTGCCCTCTCGGGGACCTTATGCCTTGGATTATCTGGTTCTCTCATGCCTTCAGTGTTCCCTCTGTGCTGGAACCGCCCCACCAGTATTTCAGCATGCCCATGTCCTTCCCATCTTTCAAACTTCTAAAAGGAGTTCTTCATATCTGTTGTCTTCATGTCCTCACATCCCAACTACCTCTAACTCAGCTTCGGTAAGTAGCCCTTTGCCAACATCCCCTACAATCTTCATGACGTTAATTCCCAAGGAGGCTCTATGACCCTTATTTTGGAGAATTCTTGGCAATATTTCCCACTATTGATGCTAGAAATTCTTTCTTCCTTGTTTTTTTGTGGGACTATATCTTCCTGGTGTAGCCCCCTTAAGTTCTCCCCAACTCTCTAGGTTAAACTGTGCTTCTTCTTTGTTGCACTTACACGATTATAATTATGTAACTATATGTGTATTTTGGCTTATCATCTCTTATGGACTGAATAAAGGTTGCTGGGTAGCGCAATCGATCTGTGGTTGTCTACTAACCTAAAGATTGGCAGTTTGAACCCACCCAGTGGCTCCATGGGAGAAAGACCTGGCAATTTGCTTCTGTAAAGATTACAGCCAAGAAAACCTTATGGAGTGATTCTACTTTGTCACACACCGGGTCCCCATGAGTCGGAATCAACTTGACAGCAATGGGTTTATGGACTGAATTGTGCTCCCTCAAAAGACACATTGAAGTCTTAGCCCCTCTACCTGTGAATGTGACCTTGTTTGGAAATAAGGTCTTTGTCTGAAGACATGGTCAGTAACATCATTCTGGAGTAGGGTGGGTCCTAGTCCTAACCCCTTCTGAGGGGGGTCTTATGAAGGGGACAACAGACTCAGGCATGGAGTCACACACAGAGAGAGGATCCATCTATAAACCAAGGAATGTCTGGGATCACCAGAAGCTGAAAGAGACAAGTAAGATCTTCCCTTATAGATGACAGAGAGAGAGCACAGCCCTGCCGACACCCTAAATTTGAACTCCCAGCCTCCAGAACCATGAGACAACAAATGACTGCCCTCAGCCACCCACTTTGTGGTGTTTGCCAGCCCAGGATACCAAGACATCTTCCATCCCATCCAACGGATGGGGAGCTTTGAGCTCAAGAACTCCACCTGTCTTGCTCACCAGTCCATACCTAGCACAACACCTGGCCCATACTACGTGCCCAGTAAATAGTTTTCAAACCAAGATTGAAATTCCTGTTTTCCTCCTTGCCCACACCCCTCATATCTAGTCAACCACCAAGTCCAACGACCCCACCCCCTAACTGTCCCTCAAGCCTGACCACTTCTCTCCACATCCGCTGCGAGGCCCTGGTCCGTGCTGCTCCCCGTCGCCCAGGCACCGCTTCTGGGCACACCTGTGCATACCTGTGCACTGGCCTCCTCACATCTCCTACTGCTCTAGTCCAACTCCCCACAGCACCTGAGGGAGCTTCCAGCACACCACTTGTAGCTTCAAATTCTTCAGTGGCTTCTGACTGCACTTGGGACAGAGCCCAGATATTCAGCATGGGTTACATGCCTGCCACCGCCTGCGCCCTGCCACTGTCTCCAGGAGTCCATTACCCATTGGCCCCCCATCTGTCCCCTCCCCGCCCCACGCTCAGTCCCTTCCATTTCCCTCCCTCGCCACCTCCAGGTCTCCCCATGAGCTGCACCTCGGTCTGCAACCCTCTTTTCCTGTCCTGCCCACCCCTAAAGAACCCCTTCCTTCTCCTCAGATACCTGGAATTTCATATTCCGTGTCTATTTTCCTGGTTCAGCCTTGAACTTCTCGAGAGCACAAACACTACCCAATCCCTGTGGCGGGGGGGAACTGTGTTGTCGCCCAATAAAGATTTATTGCACGCATGGATGAAGGGAGAGCGTGGAGTTAGAGGCTTAATTTCCAGTTCTGTGTTTTTTTGGTATTTTGCTAGTTTTAAGGCTATTGTAGAACTAATTTATTTGAACACTCAATTTGTATCTTTAAAAAGGGGGTAAAATGCTTCCTGCACAGAGGTCTAGTGAGGATTAAATAAGATAACGTACGAAGCGCATTGTTAAATTGAAAGGGCCATACAGGTGTTAAACCCGTTGCTGTTAAGTCGATTTCCGATTCATAGCAGCCCCGCAGGACAGAGTAGAATTGCCCCATAGGGCTTCCTAGGCTGTAAATCTGTACAGAAGCAGATCGCCAGGCCTTTCTCCCATGGAGCAGCTGGTGGGTTCAAACTGTTGACCTATTGGTTAGCAGCCAAGGACTTAACTACTGTGCCACACCCCTCTTGCGGTCGAGTCGATTCTGTTCATAATGACCCTATAAGACAGAGTAGGACTGCCCCATAGGGCTTCCTAGGCTGTAAATCTGTACAGAAGCAGATCGCCAGGCCTTTCTCCCATGGAGCAGCTGGTGGGTTCACACTGCTGATCTTTTGGTTAGCAGCCAAGCACTTAACTACTGTGCCACACCCCTCTTGCGGTCGAGTCGATTCTGACTCATAATGACCCCATAGGACAGAGTAGGACTGCCCCATAGGGCTTCCAAGGCTGTCATCTTATGAGAGCAGACCGCCACAGCTTTCGCCCGCACTGTGCCACCAGGGCTCCTTATACAGGTGTCAGGTACTGTTACCATCGTTGACGAGAGAGAAAAAGTGTAAGACAGAGAGAAATGGAATTTATGAGCTGGGAGGACCTTCAGAGACACACAGGAAACTTTGTTTCCTTACAGAGGAGGAAACTAAGGATCAGGTAACCTGGACACTTGCTCACATTCCCTGAGCAAACAGTGCAGGTGAAGCCAGGTCTCCTGACGAGGTCTACTGTCCGCCCCCAGGCACTGCAGTAAGAAAGCGGGTGGAGCACAAGCCTAGGGAAGGCAAGGGGCCCATGGACCTGACGGCCACTCCTGTACCGCAGCTTTCTTGTCTGGCCTCAGTGAAAAGTGGGGGCCCACGGGCCAGAAAGCCTGCTCCCCTGCTGAGCCACACATGTGCACACATACATACACATGTGTGCACACACTACACACACACCCAACACATACCAACATCACCCATGTGTGCACACACTACACACACACACACCTAACACATACCAACATCACCCATGTGTGCTCACACTACAGACACACACACACCCAACACATACCAACATCACCCATGTGTGCACACACTACACACACACACACCTAACACATACCAACATCACCCATGTGTGCTCACACTACAGACACACACACACCCAACACATACCAACATCACCCATGTGTGCACACACTACACACACACACACACAGCCAACACATACCAACA